CCCTGAATCTCTGTAGTGTTTATTTACCATCCTCTGCAATGCATGTGTCTTACCAAGGTGTCCAACATGCTACCCCTTCTGCAGAATGTTTAGATGGTCCAGACTACATTATAACGAAAGATAGGAACATTAGTAAAGCATTCAGAAAAAAACTGTAACTGCATATTGTTGACCATTCTACATGAATGTGAGCCATGTGAAATTTTTCTATTTTTCCATTCTGATAAGGATAATAAACACATTTTTCACAAGAGCTGAATACTAGGTACCTAAGGGCATGTTAATCTACTCTAACAAAGATTCTGTATCTGGCATGGTTTTTACAACTTGGTTGAGTTTGCAATAGTCTTCTGTCATTCACCAGGCACTGCCCACATTTTGCAAGATGACAAACTGGTGACTTAAATGAAAATATAATGGAGTCCACATCCCTACATTCTTTAGATCTTTCAAAGTGACAATAATTTCTGCCATCCCACCTTCCCCAAGATTCTCTATGTTTTTACTTACTATTTTGGCCAGGGAGGGCAAGTGCAGTTAGAAGCATTCATTTGGCCTTCTCATCTACAAACAGCTCAGATTTCACAGACCAAGGAACTACAGTTGGGCTCATACCAACTCCAACTATGTTGATTTCAATTACACATTCAGAGATCAGGAAAATAACCACTGGGTGAGTCTGTGGACCCAGTGGACCCACTGTGAACCAGACCTGGGCCAGGATCCCATTAATATCTGGCTCCCATAATCTCCACTTGAACCTGGAGGTTACGGTGGTATTTTAGGTATCTGGGCAGGTATGGGGAAGCATTACTATGGTTATATTGTAGGGTACTTCTCCCTGAACATCCAGACTCTCCTCCACTGTGCTCTGGATCAAAAAATGACTTAGAACCAGAAGCTGGGCAAGGGATAATGGCTTTTTGTTGAGGCAGCTTCCCTCAGACTCCCAACCACCTTTGGGTTAATTTTTTTTGGTTTTGTTTGTTTGTTGTTGTTAGTGTATAGATTGAGTGCTGCTTATTTTCTCCAAGGCACTATCTACACCCTACTAACCATCTCTTAACCATCTATCCGCCTGCAGCACTATGTTCTACTAATCATCTCCATAGGTCTCTGTAAATTAGACCTCCCCACTTGCCACACTGTGTGGATTATGGTATTTGCAGCCACCTAATTTCTGACCATTAAATACAGCCATCCTGCCTCTGTTATTTCAGAGACATCACTATTTCTATCATTAATCCTCCTCCCATAACAACCTCTACTCCCCTGAGCCCTAACACATAGAAGAGTGCCCCTACTAAACTCCTTAGTGATGCTGGTCTCTCTGACCAGTACATTCTTCATAGCTTTGGTAAATGGTGTATTTTTGGGGTTCTCTTGCAGAAATCCTCCTCTGGAGGATTGTTCTAGATTTATATAATTTTTCTATCATTCTCACTTCTCTGAGTCTTTAATCCCTTCTTCCATCATCTGCTACAGCAAATCTGCCATTTATACCTCATTTAATGGAGGCTATTATTTTTTCCATACTTTGACTGCCATCCTAATAGTGAGTTCACATCATCACTGGGGTGTTCTTTAGGGTGTTTAATATTGTATTCTGGGAGAGCACTCTCAAATTGATCCATTCTCCTGTATTCACTTTTATATTCCAGCCCCCTAATCAATCTCCTCAGATTGGTATGCTGTGGTAAACTCCCAGTTATAGGCCCAGTGGCCAGGATGGGAAGTGGAGGCAGCTTCCAAGGAGAATCCGTGTTATATTACAAGGAAAAGGACTATGAATCGTCAAGCAAGGTGGCATGCTAGCCTTTAATATAGAAGAGTGAGACAATTCTGAATACTTAAAGGATTCAGGAGAATCTGGGGATAGAAGATTTTTAGGGACATCAGTCAAGAGGTCCCCATTTCTTTCTAACCAAGGCCCCTGTCTTGGCTCAGAAGACTTACCATGGCTGGGATTTTAACTTTCTTTGAAACTCTCTTTCAATAAATTCTAATACTGCTCCTCAGATTTCCCTTTCTCTATGTGGCCTCTTTACATGCTATGAACAAAGCCCTTGGACTTTGGCGTGTAGCTTTTAATAGTTGATTATTTCAATTCACCTTTTCATTATTTTCAAAGAGGTCACCCAACTTATGCAATAACCACATAATTTTTGTAGCCTTCTTTATAATTAACATTTCTCTCATATTTCTCAAAAGTTTGATATATGGCACCAGTCAATGTATTCCCTTCCACCAATATGCCACCCTAGTATACCACCAATGAAGGCTCTAACAATTCCTCTGCAACCTCATTTCAGGAACCTATCTACTCCACCTACCACCAGTGATGGAGTGATCATTGCCAGCTGGTCAGCAGGAGATCCATTTCCAAAATTACATCACAGTGTTTGCTTTCTTGAACAACTTCTTGTACCAATTCTTGCAGGTTGGCTTCTCAGGGAGCAGACTCACAGACTCAGAAACAGAGTTCAGCATGAAAGGGTTTTATTAAGGAATACCCTTGAGAGCAACACCTGTGGAAGGGAAAAGAAGGAAGCAGGATTGGACAGAGTGAGAAAGTAAGCTATCCCATTTGGTGACAAGATGGCTATGTCTATCAGTCACTGGATGTGAATGGAAAGGATTATAACCTTGGAAGAGGTGGCTGTCTTCAGCTGAGACAATTTCTTAAGAAATATGACATCTGAGAGAACTGTCTACCAGAAGAACACCTAGAAAATAAGCCCTTTATTCCTGAGGGTGGATCAGGACAACTACAATATATTTCTTCATCATAAAAAGTTGGTGGCTGCCAGGCGCTGGTGGCTCACAACTGTAATTATAGATACTCAAGAGGCAGAGATCAGGAGGATTGTGGTTCAAGGCCAGTCCCAGGAAAATAGTTCATTAGACACTATTTAGAAAATACCCAACACAAAAAAGGGCTGGTGGAGTGGTTCAAGTGGTAGAGCGCCTGCCTAACAAGCATGAGGCCCTAAGTTCAAACCCCAGTACCACCAAAAAAAAAAAACTGATGATCATCAAGTACTAATCCTTGAAAATAATTTTTGTTTGTTTTGTTTTTCTGGACCTTCTGTATATTGCCCAGGCTACTTCAAACACAATCCTCCTGCCTCAGCCCTCTGAGTAGCTGAGATTGCAACATGTGCCACTGCACACTGTTTAAGAATAGTTTTATCTTTTAACTAGCTTAAAAGATTTAATTTTCAAACATTTACAGTTTTATTTAGACATTTATTTAAATTTTTAGGTAATACCTCTCAAATATTTAGACATAAATAAGTGCAACTCTCTCTATTTAGACTTTTGCTCTAGGCTCCTCAAACTGACAGGCCTGCCTATCCTGATTCCACTCTTTTCCTTTGGGTAAATTACATAAGAAATCCCTACTTATTACATAAACATTATAAACAGATGAGTAAAAAAACAGGTAAAATCATCCACCAGTCTAACACCCATAGAGAACTATTAACATTTTCACAGTATTCACCAATCTCTACATAGACATCATTTAAATCACACTTTTGGGCTGAGATTATGGCTTTACGTGGTAGAAAGCTTTCCCAGCAAGCCTGAGACCCTGACTTCATGTGATATATATCTATATCTATCTATCTATCTATCTATCTATCTATCTATCTATATATATATATATATATATATGCATTTATAGCCTATTTTCCCACTTAAGATTACATGAATTTTTATGTAATAAATGTAGATGTGTACTAATGTTTTAAATGGCTACAGAATATTTCAATGTACAGACCTTAATTTGTTTAGACAACTGTTCATTCTGAGACATTTTGGTCATTTATATTTTTTCATCCTTCTAAATAGTTTGAAGATACACAGTTATCTACAAGTCAATTATTTAATTAGTTTCTAAGGACAGATTTCTACAAGTGGAATTGTTGGGTCAAAGGGCATGCACATCTTGAAGGCTTCTGAAACATGTTTTTCAATGGACCTTGACCTTGTATGCTCCCAGTCTCACAATTTGAGGGTTCTCCTTCCTGCACTCCTCACCAACACTGTGGGGTGGGAAAGAAGTGAATCTTCTCTGCTGTGTATCCCAACAGCACTATCCATGGTTCCATAAAAGCTCCACCCCAGCCTTACAAAAGAAATGTGATACAAGTACTCAAATTGATGGTTCCTTCAACCATATTTTCTTATTATTTCAAAACAATAGCTGTCTTATTCACTTACAAAGAAACTAGAGTTGGCCATGAAAGAGGACATGTTCCCAAGGATCCCTGAACCCAAAAATAAAATAGGCCCTCTCTATATGTCCCCAGAATATGTTGCAGCACCTATTTATTCAAATGGTCTCTTGTTCCCATCTTGTCCTTACCATCTCCATAGCCACCAGTAAAATTTCTTGCTTTATCATCTATTGCCTGGATTATGGTGGTAACTTCCTAGCTGACTTTCTGCTCTCCAGTCACCTTTCCTGTCTCCACTCCAACTTGAACCTATCCTGCACACAAATCAACCATGTTGTTTTCCTTTCATCCTCTCATTCTTCTGGTCATGAAATGCCTTGCTGTCTCCCAGGGGTAGATGGGATAATATTCAGACACCCCAGTTTAGCAATCAGGAGTGATCCATGCACAGAATTCATGCCAACTTCCTGACTCTATTGCCTCTTATTCCCCTCCCAAAACTTTCCACTCCAAGCAGGCCAGCCTTTCTCTCTGATGCTGGATTCCCATCTCCATGCCTTCCTTCCCCCACTTCTTCCTCCTTGAATGCCCTTCTGGTCTTTTGCATCTTACCCTCCAAGTCCATCTTACTTTACTTAAGTATCCCCTCCTCTGTAAAATTTTCCCTGCACAGTGTTGCATGCAGCAATTTCTGCTGCCTCTAAGCACTGATGCAAAGCATCTGCTGCTGACAGGCGGCTCATGATTTTGTTACTTTTCTTTCCATGTATCTTGTCTTTCCAAACAGATCATGAACTCAAAGACAAGGACAATGTCTTTTTTGCTGCTTAAAACACACAACTTTATTGATGACATAAAAATAAAGTCTTAAATGTATAAACAGAAGTCCACACAAAGGACCAAAGATTACCTTACTTATGAAGAATCAGTTCAGTTTCTGCTCATGAAGCATACTAAAAATATCTCAATCCAGACAAGATAAAAATTGACACATGTATTTCCAGTACAAGTTTGAATTCATTTGGTGTTCATAAAATGATCCAGCTATAGACCACCATAGGTAACATCAGTTTTATAATGCAATTTACAAAGTGCATCACTTCCAGGCTACAAAAACAAAATGTTAATCAAATTTGTTTGGGAATATACAGCCAATCAGAGTTTACTTATTAATACCTCAACTCTTTCTTTCACTTCCGGGTCACTGCATTCTGCTGCTAAGGCTCGAAGTTTCTTGGCACAGGCTTTAGGTCGTTGGAATAGAAAATAAAGAGAATTTTTACTGAACTTGTCCTGCGTAAATGCTTTTGCTCGTCTTTTAAAATGGTAATTTATATTTTCAAACAGTGAAAGAGCATTAAGAATATTCTCTTTTGTCTCTTTCTTGCTAAAAATGTTAATCAGTGTTGTTGGAGCATTGGCAATAAGCAAGTCTTTTGTCATAGATGGATTTTTAGAGAAATTCACAAGCATTCCCAAAACATGGTCTTTAGTTTCTCCACTTCCCACAGTTAACAAACGAAGAAATTCTGAAATATAATTTGTAACCATATGCTGATATTCACTAGTAATAGTGAGGTGCCTTATCAATCTTAATCCAGCCAGCTGCACATTTGAATTCAAGGGATAGGTGACAGTATCTTCACATACTTGATTTAAGTATGTTTTAACCTTTCTATGGTTTTCAGCAGCCACTGAGATGTTATTCAGTGCATTTAAAGCCTTCTGCCTAACACTGGGGTAGGGATTATTCAACAAGCCTTCAATAACTGAGATTCCACCTACGTTACGAACAACTTCATGTGAATAAGGATAATCAGCACTGTTATACAGAGCATTATTAGCTATTTCATGAACAGAAGGATCTTCAGTCATCTCAATCATGCAAATGAGTTTTTCAAGATCTTGTGGATCCACATTAGCTTCGCGTTTACAGCGGCAGGACCAGGGCCGGATTTTCTCCCCAGACCTGACCTGCTTTCTGAAGTCATCTTCAACTGGAAAGCTGCCATTATTTTGGTGTAGAAACTTTGCTTCTGAACAGACCATGGCTCCATCCCACGGCCCCATTCCTGCCCCAGGAACCATGGATGGATATGTGCCTCTTGATTCAGCTGACTTTTTGGCTTTAGCCTTAGGTGTAGATTTGTCTTCACTACTGTTTTCATTACCAGTACAGAACCAAGACCTTATATCAACTCCATCATCAGCCTCAAATTTATCTTTAATGCTGTCCCCAGTCCCAGACTCAAAATTGACATCATTTTCACTCTTTGATCTGAGCTCACTACTGTTTTCACTTTCAGCCCAAAACAAGGACCTTAAACTGATCTCCTCAATATCAGGGCTGGATGCTCTACTTAACTCATCCTCATCTGTATCCCTATCCAAAGTCCAAGGCCCTAAGCCAACATCTTCCTCAGTCACAAGCCTAGACCCTTCAGTGGCTGCATTTCCATTCCAGAACCAAGACCCCATCATGGCTTCAGCTCCAGCCTCAGCCCCAGCCTTAGCTCCGGCCTCAGCCCCGGCCTCAGCTCCGGCCTCAGCCCTGGCCTCAGCCCCGGCCTCAGCTCCGGCCTCAGCCCCGGCCTCAGCCCCGGCCTCAGCCCCAGCCTCAGCTCCGGTCTCAGCTCCGGACTCAGCCCCGGCCTCAGTCCCGGCCTCAGCTCCGGTGTCAGCTCCGGCCTCGGTTACAGCCTCAGCTCCCGCCTCAGCTGAAGCCTCAGTTCCAGTCTCAGCATTGGCCTCAGCACTGGCCTCAACCGCAGCCTCAGCTCTGGCCTCAACTCCAGCCTCAGCTCTGGCCTCAACTCTAGGCTCAGCTCTGGCCTCAGTTCCAGTCTCAGCACTGGCCTCAACTCCAGCCTCAGCTGTGGCCTCAGTTCCAGCCTCAGCTGCTGCCTCAGTTCCAGCCTCAGCTGCTGACTCAGTTCCAGCCTCAGCTGCAGTTTTAGCTCCAGCCTGAGCCCCCTCACAGGTACCCATATAAGCTGCTTCCTCAGATCTTATCCAGGACTCAGTACTGGCCTTGTTCTCATCTCCCAATCCAGAACTAATGATGGTCTCTTCCCCAGTCCCTGATGTGGATTCAATACTGACCTTATTCTTACCAACAGGCACAGCTACAATAGTACCCTCTTCCCCTGTCCAGCACCAAGACCCTATAAAGGCCTCACTCCCAGGCCCAAACCAGAATCCTTCATTGGCCTCCACCTCAGCATTGACCAGGAATCTTCCACTGGCCTGGTCCTCAGAGCCCAGCCTAGAACCTCCACTGGCCTCATTTCCAGGCCTAGGCCAGGTTTCTCCACTGGTATGGTTCCCAGCACCAATCCAGGAGGCTCCTCCATGGGTCTGATCCTCAAATCCAGATTTGGGGCAGACTGCAGTCTGATCCCCAGGTCCGACCCAGGACCCTCCACTGATCTGACTCCCAATGGCAGTCCAGGACCCACCACTGGACTGGTCTGTGGAACCCAATCTAGATGCTCCAATGACATGGCTACCAGTCCCATTCCATGAAACTCCTCTACTGGACGGATCCTCAGGCCTTAACCTGGACCCTCCACTGGCCTGATCCCCAGCACCAGGCCAGAATCCTCCTACAATGGCCTGATCCTCAAATCCAGGTTTAGAACAGCCAACAGCCTGATCCCCAGGCCCAACCCAGGGCCCTCCACTAACCTGATTCCCAGTACCAGCCCAGGATCCACCACTAGACTGGTTCATGGGCCCTGGCTTGGACCCTCCCACATCCTGACCACCAGACCCACCCCAAGACCCTCCTCCACTAGTATGAGTCCCAGTGTAAGCACAGAACCACCCAGTGGCCTGGTCCCCAGTGCCAGGCCAGGAATCTCCACTGGACAGATTCCTGGGTCCCAGCCTAGACTCTCCACCAGATTGGTCCCCAGCATCAACCCAGCATCTTCCTGCACTGGCCTGATTCTCAAATATAGGCTTTACCCCACCACCACTCAGATCCCCAGCTCCAGCCTGGGACTCTCCACTGGCCTGGTTCACAGCTCCAACTAAGAACCCTCCACTAATTTGATCCCCAGAATCTGCCCAGGATCTTCCACTGGACTGATCCTCAGGACCTGACTTGGACCCTCCACCAGCCTGGACAATAGCTCCAGCCCAAGACCCTTCATTAGTGGCTTGATTCTCAAAATTAGGCTTTGATCCCCCGTCAGACTGATCACCAGTCCCAGACCAGGACCCTCCCCCAGCCAGGTTCCTAGTTCCAGCCCAGGACCTACCACTGGACTGGTCTGCAGACCCTGGAGTAGAAACTCCACCAGCTTGTTCCCCAGTGCCAGGCCAGGATCCATCACTAGACTGGTCCACAGTCCCAAGCATGGACCCTCCACTGGTTTGGTCTGCAGTATCAGCCCAAGACCTTCCACTAGACTGGTCCTCAGGTCCCAACCTGGACTCTCCACTGGCCTGGCCACCAGTCCCAGCCCAGGACCCTTTCTGACTCACCTGATCCTCAAATCTAGGCTTGTTCTCACTGCCAGACTGATCACCAGTCCCTACCCAGGATCCTCCACTGGTCTGGTCCACAGCTCCAGTCCAATACCCAATACTAACTATATTTCCAGCCCCAGTCCAAGATACTGCACTAGCCTGATTCTCAGCCACAGTCCAGGATCCAGTAGTCTGGTCCACAACCCAGGACACTCCACTAGCCTGGACCCCAGGCCAAGACCCATCACTGACCTGGCTCACAGTCCAGGGTCCTCCAATGGCCTGATTCCCAGAGACAACCCAAGACCCCCCACTAGCCTGGTTCTCAACCCCAGTCCAGGATGCTGCAATGGCCTTGTTCTCAGCCTCTGCCCAGGACCCTCCACTGGCCTTGTCCCCAGCCCAGGACCCCTCACTAGCCTGACTCCCAGCCCAGAGCCCCCCAGTGGCCTGGTCCCCAGCTCCTACCCAGGACCCAAGAGCAACCTCATTCTCAGGCCTGGCTCCAGCCCAGGACTTAATGCTGGTCTCATCACAAGCCACAGCCCAGGAACTAACAACACCAGCCTTATCACTAGCCCCACTCCAGGACCCAATACTGGCTTCATTCTCATCAGCCCAGGTCACACTACTCTCCCAGTCTCCATCCATGGCCTGAAATCTAAATTTGATCCACCGCTCAGCAGCAATCCAATCCTCAACACCAATCCCATTCCAGTAGTAGTCATGAACGTTAGACTGAGTTTTTTCACAGATCTGAGCACTTGTCCCACTCTCACTCTCAGAAGTGGGCACAGCCCCACCTTCAGACTTTGCATAGACGTCATCTGCTGCTGTGGCTTCTGCCTCAGAACTGGGCATAGCCTTGTCCCTTGTCCCAAGTGAGGACTCATTCTGGGAACTGGCCACAGACTGAGGCTGAGCAGAGCCCCTTGTACCTGACTTGGCCCCTGCTTTAGGCACAGCATTGGGATTGGCCCTGACCTTATTCCTGGCACCAAGCAAGGTATCATTCTGGGAGTTGACTGAAGCCTGGGACTGGGCAGAGCCCCTTGTACCTGCCCCAGCTTCAGTCTTAGGCACAGCATTGGGATTGGCCCTGACCTTATTCCTGGCACCAAGCAAGGTCTCAGCCTGGGAACTAGCCACAGCCTGAGACTGGGCAGATCCCATAGTAGCTGCCCCAGCCGCTTCCTTAGGCACAACATTGGAATGGCCCCTGACCTTATTCTTGGCACCAAGCAAGGTCTCACCATGGGAAGTGGCCATAGTCTGGGGCTGGGTAGAGTCTGTTGTATCTGCCCCAGCCTCTGCCTTAGACACAGCATTGGAATGGCCCCTGATCTTACTTTTGGCACCAGGTAAGGTCTCACCCTGGGAATTGGCCACAACCTTGGGATGAGCAGAACCCGTGGTTCCTGCCCCAGCCTCTGATTTAGACATGGCATTGGAATTGCCCTTGACCTTAGACTTGGTACCAGTCAAAGCTGTACCCTGGGAAATGGATACAGCTTGGAAATAGGCAGAGCCTGTTGTACCCACCCCAGTTTCTGCTTTAGACATAGCATTGGGATTACCCTTACTCTTATTCTTGGCACCAGGCAAGGCCTCACCCTGGGAAGTAGCTACAGTCTGAGGCTGGACAGAGCCCATTGTATCTGGCCCAGCCCCTGCCTTATGCACAGCATTGCGATTGCCCCTGACCTTATTCTTGGTACCAGGCAAGGTCTCAGCCTGGGAACTAGCCACAACCTGGGGCTGGGCAGAGGTTGTTGTAGCTGTTCCAGCCTCTGCCTTAGGCACAGCATTGGGATTGCCCTTGACCTTATTCCTGGTTACGGGCAAAGCCTCATTCTGGGAGGTGGCCACAGCCTGGGGCTGACCACAGGCCTTCTGGTCTGCCTTAGCCCCTGCTCTAGAAATGGCATTACAATCACCCCTACCATCAATCCTAGAATCAGACAAGGCTTCAGCTTGCGTCTTGGTCCCAGCCTGAGGCTGTGCACAGGCTTTCATGTCTGTGCTGACACCTGTCTTACATTTGGCTTTGGCTTTGCCCCTAGCCTTACCTCTAGTATTAGGTAAGGCTTCACCCTGGCTCTGGGCCATACACTGAGCTCCTTCTTTAGATATGGTATTGGCATTATCCTTAGCCTTGATTCTGCCATCAGGCAAGGAATCACCCTGGACATTGGCCACGGGCTGAGGCTGGGTACAGGACAATATGTCTATCCCAGCCCCTGCCTTAGCCATGACATTGGGATTGCTTCTGGTCTTATCCCTGGTATCAGGCAAGGCCTCAGCCTGTGAATTGGTTCTTATGTTTGCCCTGGACCCTGTTTTAGCCGTAGCATTAAGATTGCCTCGACCCTTAACCTTGGCATCAGGCACAGCCTCAGTCTGAATAATGCTTATGTCAGCTCCAGTCATTGCTGACATGGCATTAGTATTTCCTCTGCCATCAATCCTGACACCGTATGTTGCCTCTGCCTGTTTCTTCACCACAGTCTGAGGTTGTATTATACAGGCCATCATGTCTGTTTCTGCCTTACATATGGCATTGGTATTCCCCTCAGCATCAATCCTTGCCCCAGGCATGGCCTCAGCCTGGATCTTGGCCACAATCTGAGGCGGAGCAGGAGCCCTTGTGTCTATCCCAGACCCTGCCTTAGACATGGTTTTGAGATTCCCCTTGTCCTCAACCCCAGCACCAAACACATCATAATCTTGGATCTTGGCTACAGCCTGAGATTGTGCATAGGACTTCATATCCATTCCAACCACTGCCCTGGACATGCCACAGGGATTTTCCTTAGCATCAATTGTGGCACCAGGCCAAGCCTCAGATTGAGTCTTAGCCACACTCACAGTCTCTTCCAGGACTCTTGTCTTGGTTTCAGTTACAATTCCAGTCTTGTTCATGGTCCCAATCTTGACCACTTCCCTGGTCACTGCCAAGACCTCACTCTGTGTCACCATTACTCGGTTAATCTCTGTCTCTTTTTCAGCCAATATACGAGCTTCAGCTTTGGTCTGGGTCATTGCTTCTTTCTTGGCCTCTGCCCTGGCAACCAGTGCCCAAGCCTTAGCCTTGGTCTGGGTCACTGCCTCTTTCTTGCCTACTCCCCCAGCCTCAACATCAGTCTGGGTCACTGCCTCTTTCATGGCCACTTCCTTGGCTTTGACCTTGATCTCAGTCAAAGTCACTGCCTCTGTCATGACCAGTGTTCCAGCCACTGAGTCAACCTCAGATTCAGTTTCTGTCTCTATCCCAGACATTGCCTTGGCCTGACAATTGACTTTGGGTCTGGTTATAACAGTGACCACGGTCTCTACTTCAGCCCCAGGCCTACTTCCTGCTCCAGCTTGGGCTTCAATTTTGGCCTGGGGTCTAATCTCAATCTCTGTCCCAGCCATGGCTTCACTCTTGGCCAAGGTCTGGTTCTGTACTCCAGCCACAGTCTCCATCTTGACTCTGGACCCATTTCTGGAATGTTTCCTCACACTCTGAACTCTTCCCTTCGTTAATCTATAAATGTAGTAGCAGGTGCCAGCCCAGATCACCAGTCCTGCAGTCGCCCAGCCCACTTCCTGAATGCGGCCCATGTAATCACCCCTGTTGAAGGCACAAATAAGGTACAAGGGAGCTCACTTGGCCTGGGGAAAGAGAGTGATAGGTCTGGGTGTAGGCCTGTGAGGGTGCTGGTCTTCAGTCACTCAAAGGCCACTACAGCTCCCACTGGAGGTAGACCTAGAAGTAGAGGAAGGAAATGAACTAAAATTTCTCTTCTAATTCTACTACATCAAATAAATAGAGGAACAGGAAAGGGTAGAAATTATATGCTGGGTGGGAGAAAAGGATGAGTATAAAACTTTCCATCCCTTATTTCATCTTTTCCCCAACTTCCCCAATGCACAGAAATTTTCCACCAGGGTACTTCCATATACCAGATGAACAGCAGGAAGGATGGTGGGAAGGTTGATGATTAATAGAAGAGGCAGAGAAGTCCCCAGACCTAGATTTTTACTGGACCTACTCTGATCACCATTACCACAGGTTTCAGCTCTCATACCAACCTGTAACAATCCAAGGAAGTTCCCTCCTCTTTCCTTCTCTTGCTTGGTGATACACGCTAAAGTAGATTTATAGACTCATGAGATGTTTGGACCTAGAGGCAGACAGACATACAAAAGAAAGGAGAGATGAGAGTGCAAAGTTTATTCTTAATGGGGTTGGCCTATTATTAGCAAACTACCTATTTACCCCCTTTATTCACCCCATTTCTCCCAGGTGTTACCATACTCTCTTCCCTGTACCAGAATTAAAGTGAAGGCTTGGGGTAGGTGACAGGGATTATACAAAAGGTGGCTGGAAAAGTGAGAGTTTGAGGATCCTCCAGACTGGACAATAGCTGTTATTGGATACACAACCTACCCCAGAAGCATACCCAGGCAGTCCCCACCCTCTTACCAGTCTTTACTGATCAGATACAACTTCCTCCTAGTTTCTTTGCTTCCAGTGATCTCCAGCTCTGCTGCAGACATGCAGGCAGATCTATGGACAAGTAAATAAACAGGAGGTGATGGAGACCAAATCCTTGGTAAAACAGATAAGCACCCTAATTTCTGACCCTAGTGCCTGCCTTGCCAGGGCCCAGATCCAATTTACTAATGTGGCCCATCTTGTGATCCCCCCTCAGTCATACCCTAATCCACCCTCACCTAAATACCTCTACCATTTCATGTAATACAATCACAGGGAGTACAGCAGCATTGTGGAAAGCAGCCTAGAGCAGAAGAGGCAGGAGTTCACTGAGACCCTTTCAGGTCTCAGCCACCTACTTAGCCTACCCTCTCTTGTCATCCCCAGGAACAGCCCACCTTCACACCAACTTCCATAGTTGCAGGCCAGGCTCCCTCTTTCCTTTGCTTCCAGTGAAAACCAGCCTTACTGCAAACCTATGAGAACTAAGAACAGGCAAAGAAAAGAGGAAGGGTGAATGTTGACATCTGAGCATGCATCACATGGGTCCTCACACTTGGCTTTCTGGATTTGAAGACCCATTTCCTAGCAGTCAGAACCTAGGGCTTCCCCAGCACTGATATGGGTAAAGTAGAAAAGGGAGAGAGGAAACGTAAAGGGGGAGAGATAGAGGCAAATTATTTTAAAACCACCTGTAGAGCTCTAGGACTGCCCCCTCCAAAAATCCACCATATTCTTCACCAAGATGGTCAGATAGGCATGGGTATCTGGAAAACTGGAGGATAGTGGAAGAGACGGCGGTCCCCAGATCCCATGACTCAAGACTCATAGTCTACTGTTACCTGCTTCCCGTGAAACCCATCTCTAAGAGTCTCCAGCAAAAGATACAAGGTGTGGAGGGCTTTTGCTTCTGCTAAATCATTATCCCTCCCCACAAAGACCATCTTAAAAAATAGTAATATTCTTTGATACACCAATTTGTATTTTCTCATTAGTATCTGAAGTACAAATGAACCCATCTGTAGAAAAGTTTGCTAGCTTTATTGGTCTTCAGCATGCAATTTAAGTTACAAGTCTGAAGCTTGGTAAGGAAAGATAGTTTAGGGAAAGCTCCCTGGCTAGCCCCACCCTGCATCCCAATCATATGGTTGTCATAAAATTCATAGAGAACTTCGACGGTTCACAGTGCCCATGCTCACACTAACCTCCATAGATCCTGTGCAGTTTTCTCTTCTTCCCTCGCCTCACCACAAACAGTGCCACACCGAACTATTGTCCAAAAGACAGGAGAGAGTAAAGGCACTGAGGGCTTAGGCCAGCACCTAGGCCACAGATCCCAATACTAGCCTTTCCACATTCAGGAATCCGGTTGTCAATCGTCCCTCCCCTTCTTCAGAAACACCACCCCTACCAACCCCGCTGTCCAGTCACTAAGGCCCACCATTTTCTCTGCAAACGCCACCGTGGCGCGTCCCTTCCTCTGAAATGAGCAGGAAACCAGCGGACATGTGCGGCCAGTGATGAGAGTTGGAGAGGGCGGACATCTCAGTCTGTATTTCCCTCTTGAGACACGCTCCCCACCAGCTGCCTTGTCAAAGCCCATGGTTGCCCTGCACGGATTTAGCCCACGGTAGGGGGACTCAGGAAAATCAGAGGCGAAGGCTCTTGAACTTGAACCAGCAGAGACACCGCCCCCCATCCGCCCTAGTACCGCCGCCCGGTCGGCCAGCTGCTGCCGGCCTGGCCGCGGCGCGCGGGCCCCGGGGCCTTACCTGCTCCGCTTTCCCCGGGCCCGATGCCAGCCCG